AGGTGGGGAGAGATAGCATGGGGAGAAATGACAAATATAGCTGAGGGGAAGGAAGGCAGCAAATTACACTGCCATGTGTGTACCTATGCAACAATCTTGCATGTTCTTCACATGTACCCCAAAACCTAAAATACAATAGAAAAAAAAAAAACGCTTATCTACCGTGATCAAGTCACCTTCATCCCTGGGATACAAGGCTGATTCAACATATGCAAATCAATAAACCTAATCCATTATAAACAGAAAAAAAAATGACAAAAATCACAGGATTATCTTAACAGATGCAGAAAAGGCCTTCACTAAAATTCAACACCCCTTCATGCTAAAAACTCTCCATAAACTCGGTTTTGATGGAACACATCTCAAAATAATAATAGCGATTTATGACAAACCTATAGCCAATATCACACTGCATGGGCAAAAGCTGGATGCATTCCTTTTGAAAACTGGCACAAGACGAGGATGCCCTCTCTCACCACTCCTATTCAAGATAGTAATGGAACTTCTCACCAGTGCAATCAGGCAAGAGCAAGAAACAAAGGCTATTCAATTAAGAAAAGAGGAAGTCAAATTGTCTCTATTTGCAGAGGACATGATTTTGAAGACCCCATCATCAAAGCCCAAAATTTTTTAAAGCTGATAAGCAACTCCAGCAAAGTCTCACGATACAAAAATCAATGTGCAAAAATCACAAGCATTCCTTTACACAAATAATAGACAAACAGAGAGCCAAACACGGAGTGAACTGCCATTTACAAGTGCTACAAAGAGAATAAAATACCTATGAATACAACTCACAAGGAACATGTAGGCCCTCTTCAGAAAGAACTACAAGCCACTGCTCAAGAAAATAAGAGAGGACACAAATAAAAAAAATTTTTATGCTCATGAATCAGAAGAATCAATATCGTAAAAATGGCCATACCACCCAAAGTAATTTATAGATTCAGTGCTATCCCCATCAAGCTACCATTGACTTTCTTCATAGAATTAGAAAAAGCTACTTTAAATTTCACATAGAACTAAAAAAGAGCCTGTATAGCCAAGACAATCCTAAGCAAAAAGAACAAAGCTGGAGGCATCATGCTACCTGACTTCCAACTATACTACAGGGCTACAGTAACCAAAACAGCATTGTACTGGTATCAAAACAGATATATAGACCAATGGAACAGAACAGATGCCTCAGAAATAACGTCACACAGCTGCAACTATCTGATCTTTGACAAACCTGACAAAAACAAGCAATGGAGAAAGGATTCTCTAATAAATGGTGTTGGGAAAACTGGCTAACCATATACAGAAAACTGAAACTGAACTTCTTCATTACACCTTATACAAAAATTAACTCAGGATGAATAAAAGACTTAAATGTTAGACCTAAAACCATAAAATCCCTAGATGAAAACATGGACAATGCCATCCAGGACATAGGCATGGACAGATACTTCATGACTAAAACACCAAAAGCAATGGCAACAAAAGCCAAAATTGATAAATGGGATCTAATTAAACTAAAGACCTTCTGCACAGCAAAAGAAACTATCCTCAGAGTGAACAGGCAACCTAAGCAATGGGAGAAAAATTTTGCAATCTATTCATCTGACAAAGGGTTAATATCCAGAATCTAAAAGCAACTTAAACAAATTTATAAGAAAAAAAAACTTTAGTTAAAAGTAGGTGAAGAATATGAACAGACACTTCCCAAAAGAAGACATTTATGTGGCCAACAAACATATGAAAAAAAGCTCATTATCATAGGTTATTAGAAAAATGCAATCAAAACCACAATGGTAATCGTTAAAAAGTCAGGAAACCATAGATGCTGGGGACGATGTGGAGAAATAGGAACACTTTTACAGTGTTAGTGGGAATGTAAATTAGTTCAACCATTGTGGAAGACAGTGTGGCGATTCCTCAAGGATTTAGGACCAGAAATACCATTTGATCTGGCAATACCATTGTTGGGTACATACCTAAGGGATTATAAATCATTCTACTATAAAGACACATGCACAAGTATGTTTATTGCGGCACTATTCACAGTAGCAAAGACTTGGAACCAACAAAAATGCCTATCAATGATAGACTGGATAAAGAAAATGTGGCCCATATATGCCATGGAATACTATGCAGCCATAAAAAGAGTGCATTCATGTAATTTGCAGGGACATAGATGAAGCTGGAAATAATCATTCTCAGCAAACTAACACAGGAAGAGAAAACCAAACACCACATGTTCTCACTCATAAGTGGGAGTTGAGCAATGCAAACACAGGGACACAGGGAGGAGAACATCACACACCATGGCCTGTCAGTGGGTAGGGGGTTAGTGAAGGGATAGCATTAGGAGAAATACCTAATGTAGATGATGGGTTGATGGGTGCAGCAAACCACCATGGTACATGTTTACCTATGTAACAAGCCTGCTTGTTCTTCACATGTATTCCAGGACCTAAAGTATGAAGGAAAAAAAAAGTGGGCAAAGGACTTGAACAGATGATTTTTTTTAACTTTTATTTTAGATTTGGGGCACATGTGAAGGTTTGTTACATAGGTAAACACGTATTATGGAATTTTGCTGTACATGATTTTTCATCACCCAGGTCTTAATCCCAGTACCTACAGTTATCTTTTCTGCTTCTCTTTCTCTTCCCAATCTCCCCTCTCAAGTGGACCTGAGTGTTTATTGTTTTCTTCTTTGTGTTCATAAGTTCTAATTATTTAGCTTCCACTTATAAGTGAGAACATGTGGTATTTGGTTTTGTGTTCTTGTGTTAGTTTGCTAAGAATGATATCCTCCAGCTCCACTCATGTTCTTGCAAAAGAGGTAGTCTCATTCTTTTTTATGGCTGCATGATAATCCATGGTGTGTATGTATCATATTTTCATTAATCTGTTATTGATGGGCATTCAGGTTGATTCCATATTTTTGTTATTGTCAGTAGAGCTACAATGAACATTTGCAAGACACTTTTCTCTTTTATTTTTTATTTTTTAAATTGCATTTTAGGTTTTGGGGTACATGTGAAGGACATGCAAGATTGTTGTATAGGTACACACATGGCAGTGTGGTTTGCTGCCTTCCTTCCCCTCACCAGTATCTGTCATTTTTCCCCATGCTATCTCTTCCCACCTGCCCATGCCCCCATCCCTCCCCCATTTCCCCCCCATGGACTCCAGTGTGTAGTTCTCCCCTCCCTGTGTCCATGTGTTCTCATTGTTCAACACCCACCTATGAGTGAGAACATGCGGTGTTTGATTTTCTGTTCTTGTGTCAGTTTGCTGAGAATGATGCTTTCCAGGTGGTACATATACACCATGGAATATTATGCAGCCATCAAAAATGATGAGTTTGCTTCCTTTGTAGGGACATGGATGAACCTGGCAACAGACACTTTTCAAAAGAAGACATGAATCTGACTGAGCATCGTGAAAAAAGTCTCAACATCACTGATAATTGAGAAATGTAAATCAAAACCACAATGAGATACCATCTCACACTAGTCAGAATGGCTATTAATAAAAAGTCAAAAAATAAGAGATACTGGCTAGGTTGGGAGTGTAAATTCATTCAACCATTGTGGAATACAGTGTGTTGATTCCTCAAGGAACTAAAGAAGGAAATATCATTACTCCCAGTAGTCCTATTACTGGGCATACCCAAAGGACTAGAAACTGTTCTATTATAAAGACATATGCACATGTATGTTTATTAAAGCCCTATTCACAACAGCAAAGACATGGAATCAACCTAAATGTCCATCAATGATAGACTGGACAAAGAAAATGTGGTACATATATACCATGGAATGTTATGCAGCCATAAAAAAGAACAAAATTGTGTGTGTGTGTGTTTTTTTACAGGGAATAGATGGAACTGGAGGTCATTATTTTTAGCAAACTAAATACTGGAACGGAAAATCAAATACCACACGCTCCCATTTATAAGTGAGAGCTAAATAATAAGAACACATGGACACATAGAGGGGACCAAGACACACTGAGGCTTATAGGAGGATGAAGTGAAGGGTGGGAAGAGACAGAGGATCAGGAAAAATCACAAATGGATACTAGGCTTAATACCTAGGTGAAAAAATTACCTGTACAACAAACCCTCATGATGCAAGTTTACTAGGTAACAAAGTAAGTAAAAAGCCTGTACTTGCCTGAACTTAAAATAAAAGTTTTAAGGCTGGGCGCGGTGGCTCACGCCTGTAATCCCAGCACTTAGGGAGGCCGAGGTGGGTGGATCACGAGGTCAAGAGATCGAGACCATCCTGGTCAACATGGTGAAACCCCGTCTCTACTAAAAATACAAAAATTAGCTGGGCATGGTGGCGCATGCCTGTAGTTCCAGCTACTTGGGAGGCTGAGGCAGGAGAATTGCCTGAACCCAGGAGGCGGAGGTTGCAGTGAGCCGAGATCGCGCCATTGCACTCCAGCCTGGGTAACAAGAGCGAAACTCCGTTTCAAAAAAAAATAAATAAAAGTTTTTAAAAAATATTTTGTTATTAAAAAGTGGCTTGGATAAATTTAAATTTCTAATAAGCAGCATTTTTTAAATTTTAGAATAAGCATGTCTCATATTTTGAATATCATTATACTAAAAATGATTTGTTTTTGATCTGAAATTTGAATTAAATGAGACCTCCTGTGTTTTATTCAGTTATGTAAAACATAGAACTCTAGGGTAGAATGAAATTTCATGTAAACAGTGAATAATTTTGAGTTTTAGTACATCTCTTGCAATATTTGTGATATTTTATAGAAATATTTTTTGATTATCTTATATTCAAATTTAATTAATTGTCCTTAATTTCATCAGGGAACCCTATGTGTTTTGCTTCTTGAATTGCACATTAAGCACAGATTAGGAGAACTTGTACTCAGGGCTAGACAGAGAATCAAATGGAATTCATGTGTTTCATGTGTTCTAATTCCATGTACATCTGCACTCAAGGACCTCATATGATGAAAGAAGAATGCAAGCTTAATACCCTGAGAACAGAGAGAAGACAAAGCATGGTGCAGACATCACCAACTGGAGGATCTGCTGGTCTCGAATCACAAAAGCCAGGCCTCCCAGAGTTATAGGTCCAATACCACTAGCACAAAGCATCAATGTCAATGCCATCACATGGAATTGATGAGGTGTCCACTCTACAACTAAAAGAAGACACAAACAAGATTTAGCTTCAAACAAAGGTGGAGTTTCAATGTCACAGCCAAGGCTTGGAAAATGTGGATCTAAAGTGTTGACTTACTTAATAAAATAGTATTTGTAAAGATGCCAATAGTAGCAGTCCCAGCCAAGAAGCGGAGGGAGCAGTAAACGAGGATGGTGGGAGCAAAGGCTGCGCAGGTGCCTACAATGGCGAGCTGGAGGTAACACCATCTGAGCACCAACTTTCTTCCAAACCTGACAAACAGGGGCAGGTTAGATAATGGGAACAATAACAACCTTTGGGAAAAATTAGCAAAGGGAAACCACACTTTGAAACTTAAAGAACATTTAACAAATGAAACCTTACACTTGAAATGCTAAAGAATCAACAGTTGGCGGGCGCGGTGGCTCAAGCCTGTAATCCCAGCACTTTGGGAGGCCGAGGCGGGTGGATCACGAGGTCAAGAGATCTAGACCATCCTGGTCAACAAGGTGAAACCCCGTCTCTACTAAAAAATACAAAAAATTAGCTGGGCATGGTGGCGCGTGCCTGTGATCCCAGCTACTCAGGAGGCTGAGGCAGGAGAATTGCCTGAACCCGGGAGGCGGAGGTTGCGGTGAGCCGAGATCGCGCCATTGCACTCCAGCCTGGGTAACAAGAGCGAAACTCCATCTCAAAAAAAAAAAAAAAAAAAAAGAATCAACAGTTAATCAATGGCAGTTCTTCTTGGAAGGAATGTTCCCTGTTTGTAAATAGATACTGAGTGCATCAAAGTTTCTTCTCCAGTCTGCTGCCAGTAAATCATTGATACAAATTGAAAACATGTAAGGCAGGCTGGGGTATTGAAATCTGAACACACCAGAAATGTCCCTTGTGAAGATAAATTGTTCTACCAAAAAGATACACACACTCACGTGTTCATTGAAGCATTATTTACAATAGCAAAGGCATGGAATAACCTAAATGCTCATCAACAATAAATGGAAATACTATGTAGCCACAAAAAAGATGAAATCATGTCTTCTGCAGCAACATGGATGCAGATGGAGGCCACTTTCCTAAGTGAATTAATGTAGGAATAGAGAACCAAATATCACATGTCCTCACTTATAAGTGGGAACTAAAAATTAAATACACAGGGACATAAAGAAGGGAACAATAAACACTGGGGACTACAAGAGTTGGCAGGGAGGGAGTGGAAAAGGGTTTGAGAAACTACCGATTGGATACTATGCTCACTACCTGGGTGATGGGTTCATTTATACCCCTAACTTCAGCATCATGCAACATATCCATGTAAGAAACCTGCACATGTACCCCTTGAATCTAAAATAAAAGCTGAAATTAAAAAAGAGAAATATCCTCTATATTAACATACAGTGCTCTATAAACACAAGTTCTCTCCTACGTACTTTAGCGTAGTAGGGAGTCTGTACAGTGGGTGACAAGCAAGAGATCTAATTCTATACATGAGATTTTAGGACTGTGCAGGCCATGAGTAAAAGGATGTGAAAGGAACACCCATGAAACAAAACACCAAAGTGGGTTAAGATTTTCAGGGAGGGTTAAAAAAATAGAAAGGGAATCCTGTGTTTTATTATTTTCTGGGAAAGAGGACCTCTCTGTAGATAACTTGGACAATGTGGCCTGTGGTGAGGCAGAATTTCAGCTCTCGTGAATTGTCATTTGTTTTTGTATTGAAGGTCCTAGCTACTGACAGAAACATAATACAAAGCAAATGATAGAAAAATAATTGTTCTATCAAAAGTATACACACACTCACATGTTCTTGTGAACATAATTTCTCCAAAATTATGCAAATAGCATAATTATGCAGTGGAAAATTTTAGGGAATCCACTAAATACTACTAGAACTAGTTATCAAGTTGGCAGGATGTAAGCTTAATATAAAAAAAGACAATTACCTTCATATATAGTAGCTATAAATAATGGGAAATTAAAATTATGGTGAACAACTTTTTGGCCTCAAAAACTAAGTTAAGGCCGGGCGCTGTGGCTCAAGCCTGTAATCCCAGCACTTTGGGAGGTTGAGGCGGGTGGATCACGAGGTCAAGAGATCGAGACCGTCCTGGTCAACATGGTGAAACCCTGTCTCTACTAAAGATACAAAAAATTAGCTGGGCATGGTGGCGCGTGCCTGTAATCCCAGCTACTCAGGAGGCTGAACCCAGGAGGCGGAGGTTGTGGTGAGCCGAGATCGCACGATTGCACTCCAGCCTGGGTAACAAGTGCGAAATTCCGTCTCAAAAAACAAAACAAAACAAAACAAAAAACCAAGAAACTAAGTTAATTAGAATAAATTTAATGGTAACATGCATGACTTTTTCTATAATCTAAAATATTACAAAGGAAATTAAATAAAATCTAAATTAATGGAGAGTGATATTACATTCACAGTCTATAAAATTCAATATTTTAAAAAGGCAATTTAACCCAAACTGCTATATAAATTTAATGCAATCCCAAAGAAATCCTAAAGAGAATAATTTTTCTGACTCCAAACATGATAGTTGCTTTTCTTCACTTTTACATAAGTGAAGTGGTATAGTATGCAATGATTTTTGTTGTTCTTGTGACAAAATGGTTTTGGCATTCATCCATGTTATTGTACAGAGTAAGTTCTTCATTCCTTTTGCTGTAAAAAAATCCATTATGTGAATATCCTGCATCTTATTTATTCATTCTATTATTAATGGAATTCTAGAATATTTCTAGTTTGGGGATATCATGAACAGTTAAGTGTGTTATATCAAAAGTATCAATTTGATCATGGCTTTCTCTGCATATAATCATTTAATATTTTCCCCTAGATTTGTGATAAAGCTCCAAATTGTTAGATTACCTTGCCCCTTCAACTTCAGCTGGTTCTCCACTGTCATCTCCTGCCTGGTATCCCTATCTTATCTTCTACCACCCTATAATCCATTAAAATTGGCTTATTCACATTTTCCCATGGCATTGTCCCAGAGGGCTGGGTTACTGGACTGTTGGAAATTAACCCTCTGACTCTCAACTCTTTTATATATTATACTGTCATACATTCAAGATTCACATTTTTCCAGAAAGATACGATGCTGGTGGATGGCAATGGGCACCTCAAGTCCCTTGTCACCATCAGTGGAGACATGGTTGGGTGATGATAATGGTTTCCTGCCATTTCAGAAGACATGTGGTTCGGTAGAGCATACCCCAAACTTCCCATGTTACAGTCTGTGACAATATTGTCCTTAGATTACTTACCTTTCATGGTTGTAATACCTCTAAAAAGCTGTTTTGGCAAAGACAAAAAAAAAAAAAAAAAATCAAGGTTCCAGGCATGATTTCTCAAGACACCATCAATGACACCTTGAAATATAACCTGCAGATTTTAGACATTAAGGGACCCAAGATGGCTGAATAAGAGGCAGCTCCCAGAGAGAGATGCAGAAGCCAAGTGGTCTCCACAATCCCAAACAAGGTACCAGGTTCATTTTGTGGGTCTGGTTGGACAGTGGTTATAAACCAAATAGGGCAAGTTGAGGCAAGGCAGGACACTGCCACACCCAGGAGGTGCATGCAACCAATTGGAGGACCAGGGGATCTCCCACTCTGGGACTTCGGTTTGGATACAATTTATTGGCCCATAATTGCTCAAGTAGCCTCTAATGACCCTTTGAATTTCTGTGGTATCAGTTGTAATGTCTCTTTTTTCCATCCTGATTTTATTTATTTAGGTTTTCTCTCTTTTTTCTTAGTCTAGCTAAAGTTTTGTCGATTTTGTTTCTCTTCCTAGAAAACCAAGCTTCTGTTGTGTTGATGTTTTGTGTTCTTTTCATTTTAAATTCCTTTATTCTTGCTCTGATCTTTATTTCTTTTCTTCTGTTAATTTTTGATTTATATGCTCTTGCTTTTCTAGTACTTTAAGATGCATCATTATGTTGTTTGGTTAAAATTTATTTTTTCCTTTTTGATGTAGGCACTTGTAGCTCTAAAATTCCCTCTTAGTACTGCTTTTGCCATATTCCATTGATTTTGGTATATTGTGTTTCCATTATCATTATCATTTGTTTTAAGAAATTTCTCAATTTTCTTTCTTTCTTTTTTCTTTTTTTTTTTTAAGAAAGAAAGAAAGAGAAAGAGAAAGGGGGAGAGAGAACAGTAGTCTTGCTCTATTGCCCAGGCTGAAATGCAATCTAAAAATAGGTATTAAAAACCTCTTTTATGCCAATAGTTGTACTTAACAGCAGAGACAGGAAGGAATAAGGGACGCAAATAACAAACAGCTAACCAATATTTCATTTAAATCTGTGAAATGCTATGCAAATGCTGAAGAGTGATTTACTTCCATTTATGTGGTCACTTTCAAAACAGCTATAATGTGATACTGAAAAAAAATGTATGTTCTGTGAACATGGGGTGAAGAATTCTATAAATATTCACTGGGTTTACTTGTTCCAGGTCTGAGTTCAGATCATAAATGTCCCTGTTAATTTTCTATCTCGTTGATCCGTCGAATATTAACAATGTGGTGTCAAAGTCTCCCATTATTATTGTGCGGGAGTCCAAGTCTCTTTATAAGTCATTAAGAACTTGTTTTATGTATCTGGGTGCCCTATATTGGGTGCATATATATTTATGATCATTGACTCCTGTTGTTACATTGATCCTTTTACCATTATGTAATGTCCTTCTTTGTTTCTTTTCATCTTTGTTACTATTAAATTCTATTTTGTCAAAGACGAAAGTTACAACTCCTGTTTTTTTTCTCTCCATTTGATTGGTGAGTCTTCCTCCATTCTTTTGTTTCGAGTCTTTGTGTGTCCTTGCTTATGAGATGGCTCTGGATACAGTGTGCAGATGGGTTTTGACTTTTTATTCGATTTGTGTGTCTGTGTCTTTGATTGGGGTGTTTAATCCTTTTAAATTTAGGATTAATATTGATATTTGTGAGTTTAATTTTGTCATTTAATGCTAGCTGACTATTTTGCCCATTAGTTGATATAGATTTTTCATTATGAAGATACTCTTTACCTTTTGGTAAGTTTTTGGGATGACTGATACTGGTTTTTCTTTTCTTTGTGTAGTGCTTCTTTCAGAAGCTCTTGTAAAGTAGGCCTGGTGGTGATGAAATCTCTGAGTGCTTGCTTGTTCACAAAAGATTTTATTTTTCCTCCATTTATGAAGCTTAGTTTGGCTGGATATGAGATTCTGGGTTGAAAATTCTTTTATTTGAGGATATTGAATATTGACCCCC